GACGACCGACGACGACGACGACGACGACGCACGACGACGACGACGACGACGACGACGACGACGACGACGACGACGGACGACAGACTACGAACGACGACGACGACGACGACGACGATGACGACGAGTACGACGACGACGACGACGACGACGACGACGACGACGACGACGACGACGACGACGACGACGACGGGGGGGGAGCTGGGTTGCAGGGGGGGGGGTCTGCTCTGCAGGGGGGGTCCGCTCGGCAGAGGGAGGGACTGCAGGGGAGAGGGGGGGTCCGCTCTGCAGGGGGGGGCTGCAGGAGGGGGTGGTCCTGCTCTGCGGAGGGGGGGGGGGGGGGGGGGGGGGGGGGGGGGCATGGGCGGGGGGGGGGTCCGCTCTGCAGGGGGGCGGGGCTGCACGGGAGGGGGTCCGCTCTGCAGGGGGAAGGGGGTGGCTGAGCTGCAGGGGGGGAGGTGTCCGCTCTGCAGGGTGACGGGGTGCAGGAGGGGAGGTCTGCTCTGCAGGGGGGAGGGGGCAGAGGAGGGGAGGGGGGTTCGTTCTGCAGGGGGAGAGCTGCAGGGGGGAGGTCCGCTCTGCGGGGAGGGTCTGCTCTGCAGGGGGGGTCTGCTCTTGCAGGGGGGGGGGGCAGGGAGGGGGGGAGGGTCTGCTCTGCAGGGGGAGAGGGGCTGCAGGAGGGGGTCCGCTCTGCAGGGGGGGGTGGCTGGGCTGCAGGAGGGGAGGGGGGAGGGCGCTCTGCAGGGGGAGGGGGTCCGCTCTGGAGGGGGGGGTGCGAAGCACTGAAATACGTCGGAAATGAGGTCTCCCCCCCCCTGCGAAGCATTGAATTAGGTCGGAAATGAGGCCCCCCCCCCCGCAGAGCGAAGCTTGAGCGAGCTCAAGCCCACACTCTCAGAAACTCACACGCCGGATCGGCGGATTATTATTAGGATTATTGTTATTCTTATAATTATTATTACTAACATCATTATTATCATCATCATCATCATTATTATTATTATTATTATTATTATGTTCATCATCATCATCATCATCATCGTTCTCATCATTCACATCATTATCACTATTGTTATTATTTTTTCATTATTAGTATTATTATGATTAGTATTATTATTACTGTTATTATTATTTTCTTCTTATTATTATTATTATCATCATTATTAATATTAGTATTAGTATTATTATTATTATGATCATTATTATTATTATTATTATTATTATTATTATTATTATTATTATAATTATTAGTAATATTATTATTGAATCGCTTCGCTCATTCCGCCGGCCCGTGATATGGCATCGCTTGTTTTTGTCTGTGTGTTCGTTGCCCATGTTGCGCTCTTGGGGGCGGGTGTCGTTCGGACGCGTTGCGTGGGGAGTTTTGATGGTGAAGCAGTTCCCTGGGGGTCGTCTCTCGATGGGGCGAAATAGAGTCGTCGTCAAGATGCTTCTTTGGGGGGCCTCTTGGGGTCTGTTGAGAGGCCGTTCGGGGGCGCCTGGGAGACATGTTTGAAGCCTTCTGGGGCTTCTTTTGGGCCTCCTGGGAGTCTCCTGGGGCCTCTTGGCGACATCTTGGGGCCTCTTGGAGGCCTCTTGGGGCCTCTTTGGGACCTCCTGGGCGCCTTCTGGGACGGAGGGCTCCATTTTTGAGTTCTCGGTATCCCTCCTGAGTCCCTCTTGGGCCCGTCTTGGGGCCTCTTGGTCCGTCTTGGGCGGCACTTGGGCCGTCTTGAGGGCTCTCTTGGGTCGTTTCGGCGCCGTCTTGGGAGCTTCGTGGGCCGTCTTGGAGCGGTCTTGGGGGCCTCTTGGGCCGTCTTGGAGCGTCCGGAAGCCGAAAAAGCCAGAACACAAAAAACATAGAAAAAACCAATGAAAATCAACGATTTTGGCCTCTTGGGGCTCTCTTCGGAGGCCTCTTGGAAGGCTCTTGGGGCGTCTTGGAGGCCTCTTGGGCTGTCTTGGGGGCCTTTTGGGCCGTCTTGGGGTCATCTTCGGCGTCTTCGAGCGCTCTTTGGGCGTCTCGGGGGCCTCTTGGGCAGTCTTGGGGGCCTCTTGGGGCACTCTGAGCGCGCTCTGGGGAGCCTGAGAGGCCGCACCCAGAAGGAAAACCATCTCTGAGTAGACTTGGTCGGGCGGCGGCCGGGCGTTGGTCGGGGTATTTTTCGCCGGGGGACCCCCAGGGGCCGCCCCGCGCGCGCGAACTAGAAATACTGTTAATACTGTTAACCAGTTACCGGAGATCTTAGCACGCCCTGGCCCGTTGGGCCGGCGAATTCTCATTTTCTATATATATATATATATATATATATATATATATATTTATATATATCAAAATCTTTCTGCAGGGGCGCAGGCCCAGTTTAAAGTTCGTGCTGAAGGTGAGTCCCTCCCCATCGCAGGCCCCGCGCGTTGTCCGCGGCGGTCGTTGACGGCCACGCGGGAATCAGGGTGAACATCGGGGGCGGCGGCGCGGGGGCACAGCGTCTGCGCGGAGGAGTCCGCGGTGGTCGAGCTCCGTCTGGAGGCCCATCCGCCTCTCGCGGGTACCAGGGCGCTTGGAGGTCAAGCGTGGAGCGCCTGCTGCCCGCCCTTGCCTGGGCTCGGAGTGCGGGATGCTGGTGTCATGCGTCGATCTTCGCAATCGTCATTGGGGGTCCGAGCTGGGCCGACAGCGCGCGAGTCGGGCTGTTTGTAACTGGCCTTCGATCCCTGGCGTCTTTGTGGACCACGGGCGCTTGTGTGGGCCCCTTGGCTGCGTGCCTGCCTCGCTCGTGTTCGAGACCGAGCTCGAGGCGCATGTGTGGTGCGACTGCTTGAGCAGGCATTGTTGACGCTACAGGTGCGTGTCCGCTTAGCAGTTTACCCCAGAAAAGGAAGGATGAGGAGGATGAGGAGGAGGAGGCGGAGGAGGAGGGGGCGGAGGACGATTCTGATGATGCTGATGATGTTGCTGATGATGATGATGAATATGCTCACTAATAATGGGAATAACACTACGATCAATACTGATAGTAAAACTAGCCGTATTAGTTATATTTTTTAATGTATTATTCTGTATCAGTAATCTTCAACCAGTGCTAGTATTATGATACTTGTAGTAATACTACTTGGACGCATCGGAACAATACTTTTGAGACTCGTAATGCAAGTAATACAAGTGCTACACGATTACTGGTCATACACTCCCTAATGAGTATCCGCCTCATGGTGGTAATACTAGCTCTAGCAAGCCGAATACTGCACATACCAATGCCAGTACTGTTACTGATACTCATAGGTTTAAGAGTGGCCATGCTAATACGAAGTATCATCGTACTCGTAACACTCAAACGGTAATCTTTCATATCACGAATATTGGCACGAATGCTAACAACACTATCATACCTATCAGCATTCTTGATACCAGTACTAGTAATGCGAACCACAAAACGAAGAAACCTAATACGACTGTTACTTACACTACTACTAATAATTCTACGAATTACTTCATATTAGTCATACTACTTTTAGTACGGCTACGACCAGTACATCCACCACCACTACTACTATCCAATCTCACCATTACCCATACTACTACTACTACTCCTACTACTACTACTACTACTACCCATGATACGATTACCATCGCTACTACCAATGCTACAAACAGTAACATTGTTACACCTACGGTTACCAAAACTACGACTGATGGCACCATTCGCATTATTATGATCAATCGTAGTACTGCTATGGGTACTAGTATTCATGCAAGTGCAGTAATACTAGTATTATGTTTAGTACGAGTCGTCGTACCACTACACATACTCATACTATGATGGCTAGCAGTATCATTCAAACTAATCATGATAATACCAGTAATGCTACTACTACGGCTACTATTCGTACTACTATCACTATTACTCGTCTTGTGGTGACTACTACTACTACTACTACTACTACTACTACTACTACTACCACTACCACTACCACCACCACCACCACTACTACTACTACTACTACTATTACTCCTACTACTACTACTACTGCTGCTGCTACTACTGCTACTACCACCACTACTACTACTACTACTACTACTACTAGTAGTTCTACTACTACTACGACGACTACTACTACTACTACTACCACCACAACTACTACTACTACTACTACTACTACTACGACTACGACTACTACTACTACTACTACTACTACTACGACTACTACTACTACTACTACTACTACTACTACTATTACTCCTACTACTACTACTACTGCTGCTGCTACTACTACTACTACTACTACTACTACTACCACCACCACCACTACTACTACTACTACTACTACTACGACGACTACTACTACTAGTAGTTCTACTACTACTACTACGACGACGACGACGACTACTACTAGTACTACGACTACTACTACTACTTTTACTATTACTTTTACTACTACTACTACTACTACGACTACTACGACTACTACGACTACTACTCCTACTACTCATTATGTTGCTGCTGCTTCTACTACTACTATTACTACTACTACTACTACTACTACTACTACTACTGCTACTACTACTACTACTACTATTACTATTACTAGTAGTACTACTGATACAGCGGCTACTACCACTACAACCACGCAGTCTCATTGTTCATATACTAAGAATGATCGTACGCACACTCAGACTACGAGGACGAATGCGAATTACACAAAGACGAGGAGGGGGAGGAAGAGGAGGAGGGGGAGGAGGAGCAGGGACAGGAGGAAGAGGAGGAGGAGGTGGTGGAGGTGGAGGCAGAGGAGGAGGAGGAACAGGAGGAGGAAGTGGACGAGGAGGAAGAGGAAGAGGAGGAGGGGGAGGAGGAGGAGGAGGAGGAGGAGGAGGAGGAGGAGGGGGCACAGGAGGAGGAGCAGGAGGAGGAAAAGGAGGACGAAGAGGACGAGGAGGAAGGCGAGGAGGAGGAACAGGCCGAGGAGGAGGACGAGGAGGACGACGACGGGAAACGCCGCGCGAGGCGGCGGCGGAGGAGAAGGCAGCCGCGGAGGTCGCCGCCAGGGAGGCCGCCGCGCCCCGCGCCCCGGGGTCTCTCTCTCTCTCCCTCCCTCTGTGTTGTTCTGTGCTGTTTGTTTGCGGCCTCGTGTTGTGCTGTTCTCCCTCTCTCTGTCTCTCTTTCGTTCTCCCTCCCTCTCGCTCCCTTCCGCTGCCCCAGCCCCTGCCTCCATCTTTGTTCGTTTCGCTATCCCTCTCTCTGTCTCTCGTTCTCTTCTTCGCCCCCTGTACACATCTCACTCTCTTCTCTTTCCCCTTCCCTCTCTCTCTCTCTCTCCCCCCTCCCTCCCTTTTTTTTCCTTTCTCTCTTTCTCTCTCCCACTCCCTATCCATATCCCTCTCCCTATCTCTCTCTCTATATCTCGTTCCCTCTCTCCCTCGCTCTGTATACCTCTCTCTCTCTCTCTCTCCTGTCTCTCTCTCTCTCTCTCCCTCTTCCTTTCTTCTCCCCCCCCCTGTCGGCGTCGGAGGATGAGGAGGTACTGTTTGTGTCGGTTTCTCTTGATTCACACACGCGCGACGTGCGACGCGTGGCTTGCGTCCGCTGCAGAGCCGCATGGATTTCACGTGCGTTGCCTCCTCGTCTTCCGCACTCCTCACCAGATGCCGCCGCTGCTGCTGCTGCTGCTCAGTTTCATGCCCCGCCTTCTTTTTCACGCCCTTGCCCCTGGCCAGGCAGGCAGTCCATGCCTTTTCTACGCCTGAGGTGTGCGCCACACTTGACATGCCTCCTCCTCCTCCTCCTCCTACCCTCAGCTGCCTAACCATCCTCTGGCTCTTGAGTGCGCGCTCTTCGGCCGATTTGAGCAGCGTCACTGTGGTGGGCTGCCGCACTGATTGGTCCGAGGTGCAGTTGGCAATCACTGATTGCTATTTCGCTGTTGCTTTCTAGTCATGAGAGCACACGTTTCCCACGATGGCCGTCTGAGAGGTCCAGGACAGACCAATCGTAATCCCAGCTCTGAAAAGTACGTATGTTGTCCGGTGGGCATCGGAGCCCAGTTCTGTAAGCATCAGATATAGTTGGTATTACGGAGGGTGTTGCGTCCTTTGGTGATTAGCCATCTTTCTCGCCTTCGCATGTGTGCAGCCATGCTGCTTTGATGCAGCTTACAAGATGACGGCTCGAACTAAACGTGTACTGGTGCACATCGTTTCTCGCTTCATGCGGGCCGAAGGAACCCATAGCGCAGCTTATAGGCGTCTGCTAACAGTTGGCAGTATCTGCTACGATGGTTGCCGTGCAGCAGTTGCTTCATCGAGTGCGCGTTTGTCAGCTCAAGTTGGGAGTCTGTCCTTACCTCGGGCTTACATGCGCGCTAAATCCGAATCATGGCTCTTAACTGCACGTGCTCCGATACTATGGGGCGCTGTTGCTATGCTGGGTCGCCACATGCGCTGCTCCCAGGTATACCGGGAGAAGAGGTCCTGACGTGCGTGTCTGCCTGAAGGAGGTGTCTCTATGCTCCTTGAGCTGTTCTGTCGAGTATACGTATCTCACGCGGTGCGTGGCTTGCGCTCGCTTGCTCTGCCTGCATAGCCTTCTCCCCTTTTGACCCAATCCTCTTTTTCGCTCCTTCTGCTTCTCCTGCTCCTGCCTGCGCATCTCCCACCCAGCTCGAAACATGCGGCTGGTGGCGTCAGCCACTTTTCTCGCGTTCGAATTTGTTTTGCCATGCTGTTTTGGTGCAACTTGCCAGATGTTGACTCAAACTGAGTGCATACTGATGCACATGGTCACTTGTTTCATGCGGGCCGAAGGGACCCATAGCGCAGCTTATAGGCGTCTGCTAACAGTTGGCAGTATCTGCTACGATTGTTGCCGTGCAGCAGTTGCTTCATCGAGTGCGCCTTTGTCAGCCCAAGCTGGGAGTCTGTCCTTGCCTCGGGCTTACATGCGCGCTAAATCCGAATCGTGGCTCTTAACTGCACGTGCTCCGATACTATTGGGCCCTGTTGCTATGCTGGGTCGCCACATGCTCTGCTCACGCGGTGCGTGGCTTGCGCTCGCTTGCTCTGCCTGCATAGCCTTCTCCCCTTTTGACCCAATCCTCTTTTTCGCTCCTTCTGCTTCTCCTGCTCCTGCCTGCGCATCTCCCACCCAGCTCGAAACATGCGGCTGGTGGCGTCAGCCACTTTTCTCGCGTTCGAACTTGTTTTGCCATGCTGTTTTGGTGCAACTTGCCAGATGTTGACTCAAACTGAGTGCATACTGATGCACATGGTCACTTGTTTCATGCGGGCCGAAGGGACCCATAGCGCAGCTTATAGGCGTCTGCTAACAGTTGGCAGTATCTGCTACGATTGTTGCCGTGCAGCAGTTGCTTCATCGACTGCGCCTTTGTCAGCCCAAGCTGGGAGTCTGTCCTTGCCTCGGGCTTACATGCGCGCTAAATCCGAATCGTGGCTCTTAACTGCACGTGCTCCGATACCTATGGGGCGCTGTTGCTATGCTGGGTCGCCACATGCTCTGCTCACGCGGTGCGTGGCTTGCGCTCGCTCGCTCTGCCTGCATAGCCTTCTCCCCTTTTGACCCAATCCTCCTTCTCGCTCCTTCTGCGTCTCCTGCTCCTTCCTGCGCATCTCGCACCCAGCTCGAAACATGCGGCTGGTGGTGTCAGCCACTCTTCTCGCGTTCGAATTCGTTTTGCCATGCTGTTTTGGTGCAACCTGCCAGATGTTGACTCCAACTGAGTGCATACTGATGCACATGGTCACTTGTTTCATGCGGGCCGAAGGAACCCATAGCGCAGCTTATAGGCGTCTGCTAACAGTTGGCAGTATCTGCTACGATTGTTGCCGTGCAGCAGTTGCTTCATCGACTGCGCCTTTGTCAGCCCAAGTTGGGAGTCTGTCCTTGCCTCGGGCTTACATGCGCGCTAAATCCGAATCGTGGCTCTTAACTGCACGTGCTCCGATAACTATGGGGCGCTGTTGCTATGCTGGGTCGCCACATGCGCTGCTCCCAGGTATACCGGGAGAAGAGGTCCTGACGTGCGTGTCTGCCTGAAGGAGGTGTCTCCATGCGCCTTGAGCTGTTTTGTCGAGTATACGTATCTCACGCGGTGCGTGGCTTGCGCTCGCTCGCTCTGCCTGCATAGCCTTCTCCCCTTTTGACCCAATCCTCCTTTTCGCTCCTCCTGCGTCTCCTGCTCCTTCCTGCGCATCTCGCACCCAGCTCGAAACATGCGGCTGGTGGTGTCAGCCACTCTTCTCGCGTTCGAATTCGTTTGGCCATGCTGTTTTGGTGCAACCTGCCAGATGTTGACTCCAACTGAGTGCATACTGATGCACATGGTCACTTGTTTCATGCGGGCCGAAGGGACCCATAGCGCAGCTTATAGGCGTCTGCTAACAGTTGGCAGTATCTGCTACGATTGTTGCTGTGCAGCAGTTGCTTCATCGACTGCGCGTTTGTCAGCCCAAGTTGGGAGTCTGTCCTTGCCTCGGGCTTACATGAGCGCTAAATCCGAATCGTGGCTCTTAACTGCACGTGCTCCGATAACTATGGGGCGCTGTTGCTATGCTGGGTCGCCACATGCTCTGCTCACGCGGTGCGTGGCTTGCGCTCGCTCGCTCTGCCTGCATAGCCTTCTCCCCTTTTGACCCAATCCTCCTTTTCGCTCCTTCTGCGTCTCCTGCTCCTTCCTGCGCATCTCGCACCCAGCTCGAAACATGCGGCTGGTGGTGTCAGCCACTCTTCTCGCGTTCGAATTCGTTTTGCCATGCTGTTTTGGTGCAACCTGCCAGATGTTGACTCCAACTGAGTGCATACTGATGCACATGGTCACTTGTTTCATGCGGGCCGAAGGGACCCATAGCGCAGCTTATAGGCGTCTGCTAACAGTTGGCAGTATCTGCTACGATTGTTGCCGTGCAGCAGTTGCTTCATCGAGTGCGCGTTTGTCAGCCCAAGTTGGGAGTCTGTCCTTGCCTCGGGCTTACATGCGCGCTAAATCCGAATCGTGGCTCTTAACTGCACGTGCTCCGATAACTATGGGGCGCTGTTGCTATGCTGGGTCGCCACATGCGCTGCTCCCAGGTATACCGGGAGAAGAGGTCCTGACGTGCGTGTCTGCCTGAAGGAGGTGTCTCCATGCGCCTTGAGCTGTTTTGTCGAGTATACGTATCTCACGCGGTGCGTGGCTTGCGCTCGCTTGCTCTGCCTGCATAGCCATCTCTTCTTTTGACCCAATCCTCTTTTTCGCTCCTCCTGCTTTTCCTGCTCCTTCCTGCGCATCTCCCACCCAGCTCGAACCATGCGGCTGGTGGTGTCAGCCACTCTTCTCGCGTTCGAATTCGTTTTGCCATGCTGTTTTGGTGCAACTTGCCAGATGTTGACTCCAACTGAGTGCATACTGATGCACATCGTTACTTGTTTCATGCGGGCCGAAGGGACCCATAGCGCAGCTTATAGGCGTCTGCTAACAGTTGGCAGTATCTGCTACGATTGTTGCCGTGCAGCAGTTGCTTCATCGAGTGCGCGTTTGTCAGCCCAAGTTGGGAGTCTGTCCTTGCCTCGGGCTTACATGCGCGCTAAATCCGAATCGTGGCTCTTAACTGCACGTGCTCCGATAACTATGGGGCGCTGTTGCTATGCTGGGTCGCCACATGCTCTGCTCACGCGGTGCGTGGCTTGCGCTCGCTCGCTCTGCCTGCATAGCCTTCTCCCCTTTTGACCCAATCCTCCTTTTCGCTCCTTCTGCGTCTCCTGCTCCTTCCTGCGCATCTCGCACCCAGCTCGAAACATGCGGCTGGTGGTGTCAGCCACTCTTCTCGCGTTCGAATTCGTTCTGCCATGCTGTTTTGGTGCAACCTGCCAGATGTTGACTCCAACTGAGTGCATACTGATGCACATGGTCACTTGTTTCATGCGGGCCGAAGGGACCCATAGCGCAGCTTATAGGCGTCTGCTAACAGTTGGCAGTATCTGCTACGATTGTTGCCGTGCAGCAGTTGCTTCATCGACTGCGCGTTTGTCAGCCCAAGTTGGGAGTCTGTCCTTGCCTC